GGGGGGGGGGGCGTGTAGGAGTGATTACGAAAATTTCCTACTAAATAGCATATTTCCCACAAAATAATTTTGACAGAATTTGTCCCATTTATTTTTATAATAAGCATTAAGCCAATATTGCCCGACTGTGAAGCGAATATTGCCCGACTGGCTTTGTTTGCCCAACAAACTGGGGGGGGGGGGGCTGCTGCCCCCCTTGCCCCCTGCCTGGTACGCCCATGCCTGCGGAGGAGGCTCAGAATAGATTATAGCGCCATAGGGGCTATCAATATGGAAGCCAGGTTGGCCGGTTGGGAGAATAATTTATTATTTCTTTGCTGACACAATTCTATTGTTTTGACAATATTTTCATGACCGATGTTGTTTTGACTTTATTTTGACCAAGTCAGTCCAGTTAGTGTTCCCGCCTTCCTGGTGTAACTGAGAGTTTGCCTTGTTCAGGTGAGAGCTGAAAAGTGAGCCAGTCAGGTTGTCCATCCTATTTGAAAGGAATTTCCACTATAAAAATAACCACACAATGAGGTCTTGCTTACTGGCCTAGCTGTCGCATTAACAGCCCTTACCTCAGGGACACCAAAAATATGCCAGCACTTGAGTCAATTAACCCAATACTCATAGGGATGGGACAAACATTAAACAAGTTAATGCATGGCCTTTTAAAGATACATACAACAAACTATCAGAGAGCACACAATATACAAACTTGGGCAAAACATGCATTAATTTCTCAAATCAGCTGAGCAGCCTGAGCTTTGTCCTGTACCAGTTCACCACAAGCTTTATATGCATGGCAAAACACGGCCTTGGCTATATAAAACCTTACTTCCCTCTTTAATATACTAGCACATCATAGTTTCATGTCAAATATTTGTCAAATTCATATACATGCACAACCATTAACTCCTTGGGATTGAGGGATGAAATTATTATCTTTTAAAGTTATAAAAAGGTTCGTCTGACGTCTACAACCACATAAATACTCGTGGCTTGTTTTCTAAAAAGTAGAGTACATGCTACCATTTATTCCTAACATTTTTTCATGAAATATTTAAAATAGTAATGTGAATTTTGAAATATTTATAAATACCTGTTTATAGTCTGATAAATACGGATGTTAGCTCTGGCTTGAAGTATCGTTTTTGTCCACATTTCGGCTTTCGCGAGGTTTTAATAGTTGTTTGTTGTCTTCCACGCTCCACGGACGACAATAAACGTGTACGGCTTCCACACCTTTGAACAAACGGTCAACAGTCGAAAAATTATATCGAAAATATCAAAACAACAAGTAGTCACTGCAAAAAGCCGAAATTATGTTTTTATAAAAACCAGGGGGGGGGGGTTGAAAACTGTGGCGGGCTCATATTTGAGCCTTGTTCAGTGGCAATTACCACGAGTTTAGGGACAAGTAGTCATGGAAATGGCGTCATTTTCACTCAAAATCCGCCATGTTTTTGCGGACACTTCGTTGACTGAACGAAGTATAGGAGCAGGTCCTCCAGTTATTATACAGCTCAGTGGAAACACTGCAGCACTATTAGTAGACTTGCTCCAAGTCTCTCTTTCATTGTCATATAGTATCGATCCACTATAGTGTACATTACATAACGTAGTACGGAGGGGCGGAGCGAGAAAGAGAGACTTGTCAACTTCGGAAAATCTCGGTTCAAAACTGAACCGAAAATGCAAGACTTGCTTTAATTCTTTTCTGTCAGTGTTTATATGTATTGATCTAGCACATGTAAATAACATGAGTTCCATTATAGTGAAAGAAAGAAATTGAAGGAAAAGAATTAAAGCAAGTCTTGCATTTTCGGTTCAGTTTTGAACCGAGATTTTCCGAAGTTGACCTCGCTCCGCCCCTCCTCGCTCCGCCCCTCCGTATCGATATGACAATGAAAGAGAGACTTGGAGCAAATCTACACTATTAGTGACAGTAACCGTAATTTTAATCACTCATACTGTAGATCGATAAAAAGTCATTCATAAATACCATACCATTTTGAAAGTATATACCCAACGTCCAAATACTTTTTCATACGATTAATATTATATCATTCGATTTATATTGTTTGATTTCGCATTCCAAACCTGATAAACATTGATAATTCTCTCTTCGCGTATGTCCACGCGTAATTCTCGCAAAAAAACACGCATTAATATGACGACAACATTGATGATCGCGGCAGCCAATCAAATAACGATTTCGATTCGATTTCTCCAGAGTGATGAGAACGATATTGGGCTTGAAGGTAACAAACGTGTTGTCTCATTAACTTTAATTTATATATTGTTATATATAAATTTTGCTATATCATGCCACAATTTCACCGCACTTTATAGGCATATAATTAAAATTCTAATGTGATATTGATTTTAAATATCTTGATCAAACTAGCCTAACCTTAATCCCATTGTTCACTTAACACGAGGAAACCGTGCTGTGACGTAAAAACGAGGTCACAAAGGAGAGAATGCAGCAAACAGCACAATACGTTAATTAAAATACACAAATTTACATCTAAAAATACTAATAGCTTACTAATATTATGAATTAATATTTAATACTATTTAAAGCACGCGTAGGAGTGTTTTATCATATTTAAAACGCGAGGCGCAGCCGAGCGTTTTAGACATGATAAAACACGAATACAAGTGCTTTAAATGGCTTAGACTCTGACTACAAAAGAATACTAATTAAGATGAAACGTTATATAAACATACTAATGAAGATGAGTTTAGTTTGATCACATATAAAGCTACGACACGCTTATGATTTTTCTTTGTGTTTTGCTCATGAATTATTAATGAGGTGTTTAAGCTTATTTACAGCCAGGAGGGCTGTATAATGGAAACTTTGATTCGTAATAGGTTGGTTTTAAAGCGTGCCACAGGCTTTCAAGTCCGACGGAATGCTGTTCCACAGATTTGCTGATCTGATAAAGAATGAATTCCTAAAGTAATCCTGTTTATATTTCATGAGAGAGTTGAAATTATTTTCATTGTAATTGCGGGATATAGAGTATAGCGAGATATTTGCAAATGCCATTCCTATAACAGCAATATTGCTGTTGCACATCCCATTTCCAACAGGCAAATCCCAAATCTATAGCACCTTTGCGATTCATTGTAAATCTTAAAAATTCATGAAACATCCTAAAGTGATGTTATTTTTTCAGCACTTTTTCCAGAGTGGCAAATTTCATGCAATTTCCCCATGGCACTGGACAGGAAAATCCATACTTACAATTGAATGGACCAACCAACATGGCTGTGGTGATCGAGATTTATATTGTAACATTGTTCTTCAATACCGATGTCAGGATGACACGAAACATCAAACGTTGAATCACCACACAATGAGGAATGGTAAGAGAGATATAATAACTTCATCGAAAACGGGGAGCCGAAGGTCTGTTTTATACGTCGAATTTCGGTCGCGTCGAATGCAATTGAAACAATAGATAATGAAGCTTAATGAGGTTTATTATCTCATTATGACAAAATGAGATGATAAACCTCATTAAGCTTCGTTATCTATTGTTTGAATTGCATTCAACGCGACCGATGTTCGACGTATAAAACTAATTAGGCCGTATTCCCTGGCCCCAAAAGTCGCTTAGAAAACGATTTTTGTTGCCCCCCCCCATCGGGCACTACTTTAATTTGCATGAATCTATAGATTTTTATACGCTGAGTTCGAATTCACTTGTTGTCACTCGCACAAACCTGCAGTTTTCTTTGTATTTTACGATCAAACATCAACATTTTTTTATTAAAATTTCCGCCATTTTGTTCAGGAAACTTCATGTTATATACAGTTATTGTACTAGTTCAAGTCTCTTAGCAGGGGGGTTGCACGCGGTATTACGCATTTTTATCATTCTTCTGAGGAAAATATACAGAAATAAATACAAATATAGATATGTTTCCACAATATTAAAGTGCGAAAGGTAATAATACATGTTTGTAAATAATCAGGAACTAATCTACTGTTCTTGTCATCCATAAAGACTCACTTGTCCTTGGTAAAGTTGTTTATTATATTTATTATTGAAATTATGTACATAATTTTAGCCTTGCAATGTGAATAGGCAATTTTCCTGGGTATTGTCTACCTGAAATTTTTGTCAACAATAAAGTTTTGAAGGTTTTATCCCTCAGAGAGATTTCAAAATAAATTTTAACTTTGAAACTTTCTAATCTCCTAGGCGAGCCAGTCCAGGTAACCCGAGTTGATTTCATCCCATGTTTACCAGAGACTTTTGAGGCGGGCTGGGTCGGCAAAACAGATTACTGCTATAAATAGTATAATATAATATTTTTTACTTCTCAAGATCTTGCCTAGACAGGCCAGCCCAGTTCCATATAAATGCAAGATGAAAGTTAGTTTAAATTACATAGCGATGTTAGATCTTGGCAAAGCGGCTGGTTAATTTTGCAGGTTGCAGGTTCGCAATTCCCTATATCCAGAAGATGAATGAGATCAGTGACTGATCTCCACTTCCGGTTTTCATGACAAACAATAACTTTATTCTAGCCTGAAAACAGACCCATGTTTATTCAAACAAAATTACAAAAATACCAATAATGGTATATATAGAAGGCCATAGAATACAGCAAATTTCTATTATAAGCCATACTAGAAAATACATGCATGCAGAAACCCTCTCCTGGCTGACAAAACTATTATGTTTTCCGAATATATATGCTAGGTATGTTATCATACGTAATAATTATAAGCTTCAATTTAATGTAAAAATCAACCACAAACGCTTCGCAAAACATTTCAAAATGTTCTTAGAACTAAACTGCCTTTTATCGGTATTAAACATTGAGTTTCAAAATCGAAATAAATTGATTTCAAATTCTTGCATGAAAATAACTCGCCATCATGCCACAGAGATCATGCTGAAAACCGGAAGTGGAGATCCGTCACTGATCTTATTCCTCGTCTGGATGTAGGGAATTGCAAACCTGCAACCTCAACCTGCAACCTGCAAAATTAACCAGCCGTTGGCAAAGCACGAGCTAGCTCGGGTATCCGGCTGGCTTGGGTACACCCTAAGGAAATTAAGAAATGTTATTTACATCAATAGATTGGTGTGAATAGAGTATTATTTAATGCCCAGCTGTTATCCAAGATCTAAGGCATGGAAAAAAGAGTCTTGGCTAGGCAGCTAGGCTAGCCCAACTGGAAAGAAGGTTTATGTAACTAATGCATATTAGTAGGTATAGTGATGCCAGATTACTTTAAATTTCTAGTGCCTGCCTGGCCAAATATAAATTAATAAATTATCACTTCTCTAAGTGCTTGGTAATGAGTGTCAGCTCAAATAGGATTAGAGCTTATTAAGGTGATGATGTATCATGACAATATGTTGTTAAACCTCAAATGGCTCGACCAATTCATGTCTCTAGGTGGCATGACTTTGAGATTTGCTTGTGTGAATATAATTTTTTGCTTAGTACCTTTGTTCCAGCAAGCCCATGCATATGCTTGCCTCAACAGTGTCATATAAATTGAAACACCAAGCAAGCTTCTTGTATTGTAGCTGTAATCAATTGGGGCTATGTCCTGTATGGCCACCATTTGCTAATGTAAATACTTTAATAACAATAAAGTGATTAAAAAAATATGGCTAATCTAGGCTGGGCTAACTCCATATAAACAGACCAAAAGTAGGCTGTCAGTCTGTCTTAGAGTGAAAGACATCTTCCAAAAGTTTTTTTTATAAAGCTCAATGTCATGGTAGCAAAAATTTTACTATAATACAAGAAAATAGTGGAACATACCATAGTTAATAGAATGGATGGTTTGGAAACTCATTAGAATAACAATATAACTCATTATCTATGTTAGTCAACGTTTACAGAGGTGTAACTTAACACTTGCCTGGGGCAAGTGAATATCATGACGGGCAAGTAAACGTTTTATTTTGCTTGCCCGATTGGGCAAGTTGCCTCTTGCCACAAAAAGCTCGGCTTTCGTTATCGGATAATTTTTTTATGATGCATGTACTTGATTCAAAATTTTTTTTTGTGGGCCAAAGCTAGATCTAAGGCAGTATAACATAGCCATATAGAGCAGTGGGAGAATGAGTCGACATGTTGCCCCCTTGATTTATACCCCCTGGCAAATGAATTTTATTCAGGGCAGCTAATTTTCATGTCCAATTAACTTGCCCTGAGAGCAAGTGGTCAAAAAAGTAAAGTTACACCACTGGTTTATTCATAAATCTGGTCTCTGTATTTTTGCCCAACTAACCAATAGCAATGTCTTAGGAAAGTTACCTATCCGTGACTCGAACAATAGGGTAAATTGAAAATTGCAAGAACACAAGGTGGATTTGGCAAGAATACAATACACGCATGAGGATGAAGAACCAGATTTATAATAAACGTTGACTAACATAAATAATGAGTTTCATCCAAACCATCTATTCTATTAACTGTGATGGAACTCGTTATGTGCAGATTTATTAAATGGATGAGCTAATTTGATTGAGGTCAACTGCTACTAATGGGCAATGGTCTATTTGTGTTAATAAATTATCTAGGTGACCAGGTCTAACATTTTATACTAAACAACAAATAGGTCTAACATTTATTAATTAAACAACAAGTATATTGTGCTCCTTATTCATTGTTAACAAAAATTTGAAAGAAAAATTGCCTATTCACATTGTAAGCTAGGCTAAAATTATGTACATAATTTCAGTAATAAATAGAATTAACAACTTTACCAAGGACAAGTCAAGTGAGTCTTTGTGGATATATAGTGACAGTCTTTGCAACTTGACATCAAGGTGAGGCAAAAAACCCAAAAGTTGGTGCAATAAAGAATAGTAGATTAGTTCCTGATTATATACGAACATGTATTATTGCCTTTTGCATTTTAATATTGGGAAAAAATATCTATATTTTTATTTATTTCTGTATATTTTCCTCAGAAGAATGATAAAAATGCGTAATACCGCGTGCAACCCCCCCCCCCCCCCCCCCCC